ACCGGAGCAGGGATCGAGCGCGCAGAAGGGGGGAAGACATGGGGACCCTCGGGCGCGCGATCTACACGGTGGGCAAGTGGATCCGTGGAACGGGGCAGGCCATGGACCGCCTCGGATCCACCATCCAGGGCGGCCTCCGCGCCGAGGAGCAGGGTAATCATCCATATCCGCATCCGTCCCCCCCTCAGTCCGGTCACCCCTTCCTCCCTACGGGCTCTCTATCCATTTCGATTTGGCGCAGCCGTAGTATTGGCTGGCAGCCTGTCGTCAATTCGTCGCACTCATAGTTTTGGAGATGTTCGGTACCAGATCAGGTTGACTCAGAACTTTTGGGATTCTTATGGGGGAGAATGAAACTGGCATAGAAATTGGTACTGCCATACTGGTAATGTGACTCGAGAGTTGAAATGGGCCTAACATTTAGGGTTTGGTGCTATCACTCCAGGATTTCTGTTTTGTTTGTTGACTTGCAGTATTGTCAGTTATCAATGAAATGTAGCATCACAATCTCTTATTCTCGCCTTTTAAATTAGCTGTAAGTTAAGCATAATAAGGCATTGTTACGGTGACCATACTGACCTTTGTGGAAGTGCTGTATTTTGCGTGTCTGTCAAATTGATTATGTATCTAACTTATGTCCCATAGCATCACGAACAACGCCATTTCCTGTTTGAGTTAGGTCCAGTGCTATAGTTGGTGGAAATTAATTGTCAACATGCTTCATCTGGGAAATGACCAGGAATTGAATGCATTGGTAACAACAATGGGGAGTAGTTTCCCTTCATTATTTGAAGGCTGCTGTGTACCTATCTTGATCGATCGTTGTAGAACCATGAGGCATGAGCTACTTTGGTGAGATTAAAAAAAACTTCATTTCTGACCTGTGGTTACCCTTTTGTATGCCTTTATCAGTGTCAAGGCATCGTACAGTCATGAGCATATTTGACAAGGAGCCAAGGATCAACAAAGATGTTTTTGTTGCTCCCAGTGCATCTGTCATTGGTGATGTTGAGATTGGACATGGATCATCGATCTGGTATGGCTCCGTTTTGAGAGGTAAACACTTAACCTGACTAACCATGGTCGTTCATTATCTTGATGATTTTCTTCTCTTGTTCGCATCATTGATTATTTTTGAACCAGGAGGTGCTCTAGGTATAGATGTGTTACATAAAATTTTATTTTCTAAATGAACATGATTTTGACAGTATGTTGCTCAGAATGGATAGTAGTATGACCATTTTGTTGTTTTATGTTCTTGCCTTCAGGTGATGTCAACAGTATTCGTATTGGATCTGGATCAAATATACAAGACAACTCCCTTGTACATGTTGCAAAGACTAATATTAGCGGGAAGGTCCTTCCGACAATCATTGGAAGCAACGTTACAGTAGGTCAGTAATCCTAGCTCATTCTATATTTATATATGTAAGCACCTACAACATGCTACCAATATTTTGGTTTACCTTATTTTCAAGACAATCATGCTATGGCGTCATTTGCAAAGATAAATAAATATAAATCTGTTCTATATCTCATCCTCGTGATTGATTTGTGGATTTGAAACACCGAGCTTCATTTTGTCTTGATGATTGAGTCTATTATAATACTGCCTAAAGTAATAAATTTCTGCCAGGTCATAGTGCTGTTTTACATGCATGCACCATTGAGGATGAAGCATTTGTTGGTATGGGTGCCACTTTGCTTGACGGAGTGGTTGTTGAAAAGCACAGCATGGTTGGCGCCGGATCTCTTGTCAAGCAGAATACAAGGATTCCTTCTGGGGAGGTTATTTTCTTGTTGTCTTGATAAGCCAGTTTTTAGATGGTCATTATGCATCAATTATCATCATTATGTTTTTTAACAGTATTGGCTGCAATCATGCATTATACTAAGATGTCATTCTTTACGACATGTTATTTAGAAGATTGTCATACTCCTGGCTGAAAAATGACATATGTCGATTTAAATGGTTTTAGATTAGAGTTATGTCCTTGCAAAGAACAGTTTGCTGTCAAAACTCTTTAGGAGTATAGTTAATAATGTTCAGGAAACCTTTCTATTGGAGAACAATCAATCCGGAAGCTCAATAATGTTTAGTACTAGCTCACTTTCTAGGTTAGACTTATGTTCTTGCAAAGAACAATTTGTTGTTAGAACTCTTTACGAGCACTGTTAATAAATCTGTCTGGTGTCAGGAACCATTCTGTTGAAGAACAATTTGTCTGGAAGCTCATATTCTGGATTTATTAATTAATTTAACTGGTTATTCAGCAGCTCCAAGACAAGGATGTTCAGCTTTATATTTGAAAAAAGAATCTATCTTGTGTGACTCTAGTGAATCATACCTCTTCCTTCATGATTAGGTCTGGGTTGGTAATCCTGCCAAGTTCCTAAGGAAGCTGACAGAGGAGGAGATCACATTCATCGCCCAATCGGCAGCCAACTACATCAACTTAGCTCATGTTCATGCCACTGAGAATTCCAAGAGCTTCGACGAGATTGAGCTCGAGAAGAAGCTGAGGAAGAAGTTTGCTCACAAAGATGAGGAGTACGACTCGATGCTCGGAGTGGTCCGTGAGATCCCGCCGCAGCTCATCCTCCCCGACAACATACTCCCAGACAAAGCACCGAAAGCAGCTGTCGCTCACTGAGATCAAGCCCCTCGTAGGGATGCTTTGATTTTGATATGTGGCAACTTGGAACATTTGACGTATGTTTTGGTCTTGTTCTCTGTTTTTTCATGCCCAATAAGATTTGGGTCGAGCGCTGTTGTAGGATCGACCGCATACAGTACCTCTCTTTCACATTGCAATGAAGAGGAGCCTGGGATCACTTTTACACCTTCTGTATGAAGTGCACATTGTTGAAGCAGTCCTGTTTTGTACTCTAGAGTGCATCTTAACTGTGATCTGTTTGTTTTTAAATGGCTTACAGCGATTCAATCTTCTATCTTTGCCCCTTGTTTTGTACTGTTTATCAATTGGCTCCTAATGACCACTAAATTTCAGAGGCATCGGCAATGTTCAAACATGATGCATCTAAATTGCTGCTAAATTTAATTTTTCAGTTCATACATTCAAGTAAAAGTTAAGCTAAATCATGTGGATAGTATTGGATTCAAATATGTTGTGAATATTAGATTTTAGCAACTATGTACAAAATGATGTTTTCTTGTCTTGTGATGTGCGTATCTTATTTGAATTTGAAATTTTGTTCCAAGTTATATGCATGCTGTGTTGATTTTGTGCACATTTATCGAGATGAGATTTTTTATGATTATCAAGCGTGCTAATTATGCTTTTAGTGCACTAGAACACCTCAGCAACATGATTAATTGGCTCTCTTTCTTACACAAAACTAAATCCCACTCAACTACCTCTGACCAATAGCAGTATAGCTCTAAACTCTCAAGCCCCTGCCCTCTCACTTGCCGGCAGCCATGGCAGCAGCCCGGAGCTTCTTGGCGTGCTCCACCGCCATGTCAACGAGCGCGTCCGTCACCATCCCGTTCGCCGCCGCGGCTTCACCGAACCGCACCGCCCACGCGGCCAGCAGCGGAGTCCTCCCCTTGTCGATCAGCCTCACGCCGAGCAACCTCCGCGGCGCCTCGAACCAGAACAGGTTGCTCCCGAGCACGAGGTCGAGGTACCCCACGGCGTCGCCGCCGTCCGAGCACCCGGCGAAGGCCTCCTCCAGGCGCGCCACCATGCCGGCCGCCTCGCCGGCCCGCTCCGCGCGCTCCTCCTCCGTCGCCGCCATCATGACGCGGCCCCAGGCCGGGAACAGCTCGCCGTCGACGTAGGCGGCCCAGAACCGCGCGGCGGCGCGCTCGCGGGCGCCGGGCCAGGCCTCGTCGACGTAGTGCAGGATGACGAGCGACTCGCAGACGGGCCTGCCGGCGTGGATGAGCACGGGGACCTTCCGGTGCACCGGGTTGGACGCGAGGAGGAGGCTGCTCTTGGCGGCGAGGTCCTCCTCGACGTACTCGTAGCGCACGCCCTTGGTGTCCAGCACGATGCGCACGCGCGCCACGAACGGGCTCAGCCGCAGGCCCAGCAGCTTCACGTCTCCTTCGCCACCCGCCATTGCTGTCGCTTGTTTCCTCCTCTCCCTGTCGATCCCTTCGCTCCCTGGTCTGCTTTCAGTCAGTTCTCCGTGAAAGAATTACTAGCTAGCACCGCGTTTCTGCTGGTATTTTTATAGCAGAAAGTTAACTGCTTTCACATCACCTTGTGAGCCAGGGTGCACCCGGTAACTAGTCAGCATTTTCTCCATGGAATGTCTGGGACGAGGGTGATTGCTGTTTTGACACTCGTCTCCTCCAGACGTTTCTGGCACTCTCCTGATCGACTGACTCTGATGTCTGAACCTTAAACTTGTTGGTTTCAGGCTTCCGTCAAAAGCAGGACAGTGGACATGGTTGTGTTGAAGTGATGGCAGAAATCTTAGAGAGATCAGACAGACAAAAAACGGAATGTTCATACTCCTTCCGTCCGAAAATACTTATCGAATGAATGGATGTATTTAAACGTATTTTAATTTTAAATACATCTATTTATATTTATTTGACAAATATTTTGAGACGGAGGGAATACAAGATACAACATGGATATCAAGGTGTGCATAGCTAGAACTACAACGGAACGTTCACGTAAGGTTCAGCATCACACCACACTTCAGTTGTTCACAAGGAGTACATATTATCGGACATGGGTGTGCACAGGCCAAGCCACCCTCGCCTCCCGGCCAATTGCAGCAGCTTGGCGTGTTCCACCGTCATGTCGATGAGTGCATTCGTCACCACCCCCTTCGCCGCCGCGGCTTCACCAACTGCTTTTCCCACGCGGCAAATAGTGGAGTCCTCCCCTTGTCGACCAACACCACGCCAAACATCCTCCTAGTGGTGTTTATATAGCACAAAATTAATTACTTAAACATTTCTGGAGTAGTACTGTGTGGAATATGCACCTCACCTTGTGAGCCCGGACGCAACAACTAATTGGTCAACCCTAGTACTCCCTCCGTTCCGAATTACTTGTCTTAGATTTGTCTAGATACGGAGGTATCTAGCATTTCGGAACGGAGGGAGTAGTAGTACATTGAAGTACTTACGCCAAAGTATAATGTCCAGAATGCCACACCAATGAACGAACGATATAACGACATCTGTAAGACTCCAACGCAGATCCTGCTTCTCCTTCAAATGCCCAAACTAGACTGTCTGGGCAATTTTAGGCCTCTAACATGTACCCCTATTTTAGGTCGGACGCGTCCGGATGACATAAGTCCGTCAATCTGGGTCAAGTATGGAGGGGTGGAGTAGGGGGAATCTGCCACGTAAAACTCCGACAAACCAGGCCACCCATAAAACTTTCGGAGCCCGCGTTTTTCACCAACTACCCGCATTCATGGCGTGGTGATCGATGCCCAGTCCGAGGAGCGTCCCTCGACTATAAAAAGTCGGCCAGCGACCTTGAACCCTAGGCACCCTTCCTCCCCTCCTTCCCATCTCATCCATGCCGCAGTCGCCTAGATCCGAGCTCGCCTGTTGACCTCCCCCCACCGAGATGCCGCGCCGCCGCCCGACCTATTACGTCATGCTCTCGACCAAGCGGCACGTGCAACTTGCCACCGAGGAACGCGCCTAAGTGGCGGGGCACGCGACATTGAGTTGCCGCCGGCAAGGACCCGAGCTTGGAGGAGGAGAAGGAGGACGACGATCCCATGGATCCCGTGGAGGAAGACGGCGAGCCCATGGATTTTGCAGAGGAGGAAATTGAGGAGGAGGACGGCGACCCCATGGATTCCATGGAGGAGGAGGACATCGACCCCATGGGGGTCACGAAGGAGCCCACGGTTGAAAGTGCGTTATATCGACTAGAGGGGGGGGGGGTGAATAGGCGATTTTTACAAATTCATCACAGAGGAATTTCAAGGTGAGAAAATAGAACCAGTAGCTTGGTGAAGACAGTGATTTGGTAGACCAGTTTCAACTGTTGTGACAGTCGTACGTCTAGTTGGAGCGGCTAGGTATTTAAACCTGAGGACACATAGTCCTCACCGTATTCTCCTTGAGCTAAGGTCACACAGACCTCGCCCAATCACTCGTGGTAAGTCTTCAGGTGACTTCCAAACCTTCACAGACTCGGTCACTCAGCAATCCACAATTTTCTCTTGGATGCTCTAGACCACGACGCCTAACCGTCTGGAGGATGCACAGTCCTCAAAGGTAACAAGCATCGATTCCACACAGGAACAATCTCTTCACTGATGCTCAATCACTTTGGGTTTGTAGGTGTTTCGGTTTGGGTTTTTCCTCACTTGATGATTTTCGCTCAAAGTCCTCGGAGGATGGGATGCTCTCAATGACAAGTGTTAGTTTCTCGCGGAGCAGCTAACCAGCTAGTGGTTGTAGGGGGGGACTATTTATAGCCTAGGGAGCAACCCGACATGATAAGACATAAATGCCCTTCAATGATATGACTGTTAGGTGGGTAGATATTTTGGGACAGCTGGCACATAGCACATCAACGGTCGGAAATTTGGCTATCAAATTCCTCAGGGCTATCATGTTCCTCACTTGTAGGCAATCCGCACTGGCAAATTCCTAACTCCCCAGTCAGAACAAATTCCTCAAAGATCGGAAGATCTTCATCTCTGTCACTGAAGAAATTGACTAAACTGTATGAGATTTCCAATGGCTTCACTCGAAAGGATTGGTGGGTGTAGGATTTTGAGATGAGCATCACTTGAAAACTTTTCCTTAGTTTTACCTCGACCCTCTTTAACAGTACGGTGTTTCCTATGACTCAAGAAAGAGAAAAACGAAACTACGAAAACAAAAGTCTTCACGCTTCATAATCCTCGCATGAATATCAAGTCTTCAGGATCACACCAATTTCTTCACTTTCAAAGTCTTCAGAAAGCCAAAGTCTTCAGTTGAAGACATTCATTTTTAGGGGTCGACTTTCTCTGTAAATATCAAACTCCTCATAGACTTATAGACATGTGTACACTCATAAACACATTAGTCCCTTAACCTATAAGTCTTCAATACACCAAAATCACTAAGGGGCACTAGATGCACTTACAATCTCCCCCTTTTGGTAATTGATGACAATATAGGTTAAGTTTTCAACGGGGATAAACATATGAAGTGTAAATACTGCTATTGAAGAATTTGATTGCAAGATATAGAAGAACTCCCCCTGAAGATGTGCATATGTGAGGAATTTGCCTTGAAGAGCAAATACACATTGTAGAATAGAATCATGGAGATCTCTCCCTATATCTTGTAATTCATACACGCATTTAACATATGAAATGAAGAATTTGAAATGCATGATGAAATATGGTGTCTGATGTAATTCAACATGCGTGCATTAACATACTTGAGGAAATAGCATGCAGAAAAAAACAGAGCAAAATGTATCAGACCACCATAGGACTTAAGTTTACAACTCAATCCAACAAAAACTTCAGAGGACGAGAGTTGCAACTTAAAAAAACGCCCATATATAAACCCGCTTGAAGACTAACTCAGATTTCTCCCCCTTTGTCATCGAATGACCAAAAGGGACGAAAAATGAGGACTAACGCCCATGAAGAATATCATCATAAAGTTGATAGAGGAGCGCCAACGTTGTCGGGG